AAACTAAACTAATCCTAATCTACAAAGGAAAAAGAAGAGGGGTCAAGAAGCAACCATACCCAAACACGATTCCGTACACGAAAGCCATATGCGCAGGCGGAGAGTGCTTCAGAGCTCTATTCAAGTATGAGTTTTTCCGACCTCTGTTACGGTCCGTAATCCTTGTATTTATAGAGCAATCAAGAGCGGTTAATTTTGTGCACGTACACTTCTAACTCATAACTGCTATCCACTATGCTTGCTACGTGGTCTTGAGTTATAACTTCCTTTAACCGTCCTCCCACGTTCATATTAACTTCCTTTGACCACCTTCATGTGACCATTGGTACTAAACTTTTACTAGTTTTCGAGCACAACTCTTCTCGATCTCGAATATTTGCCACTGGAAGTGTCCATCTTCATATCATTTTTCGAGGAATCTACATGATTGTTTCGACTTGTTTGTAATTTTTCGAGTGGGTCCAACACCTATATATTGCACTTTTGTTTCAGAGGAAAAAAAAACCAAAAAATAAAATATATTGAAACGTTACTTTATTAATAATAATGGTACATAAATATTTTATTAACCAATAAAAGAAAGTTAAGAACACACTACCTCTATGTTTTAGTTAACAGGCAGAGTCGAAACTTAGTTCCAAGATCGTCCAAACTTTTCCACAAATTTTACAATTTAATTAAAATACATTTATTATTTACAACAAGGTTATTGAATTTTTTTTAAGATACTAGTATTTTTTAATTAACTAAAAGTATATATTAATAAATAATTATTATAACGATAATATTAATTTTTTATCTTCATATTTTAAAACTATTTAATTCCTTAACTAATATATTTATTCAGAAAGATGGAGAGTAGCAGTGTGGAGTTGTGTTGCAGTTGTTGCAGTGGGAGTCAGTGTGATGGAGCAAACGAAGAAGCTAATAAAAGGCGTTTTGAAGAACAGCAATAACCCAGAGTTGGCATGGCATCTGGTGAAGCGTCTTCTATCTTCTCCTTCCTCCTCCTCTTTCACTCACACTCACCAACTTGTTACTATCACAACACGCATCCTCGCCGGCGCCAACATGCACCGCCAACTCCACCACCTCCACCACCTCCTCCTCTCCTCTCACCCCAACCACATGGCCCACTCTTCCATCACTTCCATGGTCCGGGTCCTCGCCCAATTGGGCCACGTCGACCAGGCCCTCTCCCACTTCAAATCCCTCCGAGCCCAATTCCCCTCCACACCTCCCTCCCTCCCCTTCTACAACCTCCTCCTCCGCTCCACCCTCCGCCTCAACCGCCCCGACCTCGTCACCTGCCTCTACACCGACATGCTCGCCGCACGTGTCGCCCCTCAAACCTACACCTTCAACCTCCTCATCCGCTCCCTCTGCGACTCCCGCGCCTTCGACCACGCCCTCCAACTGTTCGACAAAATGCCCCAAAAGGGATGCCTCCCCAACGAGTTCACTCTCGGGATTCTCGTTCACGGCCTGTGCCGCTTCGGCCTCGCCAAACAGGCCTTCAACCTCCTTCACAATAACACTTTCTCCCACATTGCTAACAGGGTCGTGTACAACACTCTTGTTTCTTCGTTTTGTAGAGAGGACATGAACGACGAGGCTGAGAAGCTTGTTGAGAGGATGACCCAGCAAGGTCTGTTGCCTGATGTGGTTACCTTCAACTCCAGAATCTCGGCGCTTTGTCGAGCCGGGAAGATTCTAGAGGCTTCGAGGATTTTCAGAGATATGCAGATGGATGAGGCATTGGGCCTTCCTAGGCCCAATGTTGTGACTTTTAATTTGATGCTTAAGGGCTTCTGCAAGCACGGGATGATGGAGGATGCTAAGGGTTTGGTCGAGACCATGAAGAAAGTTGGCAAGTTTGTCTCTTTGGAAAGTTATAACATTTGGTTATTGGGGTTGCTTAGGAATGGAGAGTTGTTGGAGGCTCGGTTAGTTCTTGATGAAATGGCGGCCAAAGGTGTTGAACCGAATGCTTACACTTATAACATTATGATGGATGGGCTATGCAGGAACCATATGCTGTCGGATGCAAGAGGGTTGATGGATCTCATGATGAGCAACGGGGTTTATCCGGATACGGTTACCTATAGTACTCTCTTGCATGGTTATTGCAGCAAAGGGAGGGTTTTTGAAGCTAAAAGTGTTCTTCGTGAAATGATAAGGAATGGTTGTCAGCCTAATACTTATACTTGCAACACATTGCTGCATAGCCTGTGGAAAGAGGGGAGGACGCTGGAGGCAGAGGAAATGCTGCAGAAGATGAACGAGAAATGCTATCAGCCGGATACTGTCACCTGCAATATTGTGGTCAATGGTCTCTGTAGAAATGGAGAATTGGACAAAGCAGTTGAAATTGTAAGTGAGATGTGGACTAATGGAACAACATCCCTTGATAAAGGGAACTCGTTTGCCACTTTAATTAAGTCAATTGGTAATGTATCAAACTGCTTGCCTGATGGGATCACATATACAACTTTAATTAATGGTCTTTGCAAAGTTGGGAGGATAGAGGAGGCCAAAAAAAAGTTTATTGAGATGACGACGAAAAACTTGCACCCTGATTCTGTTACCTATGATACGTTCATACGGAGTTTCTGTAAACAAGGGAAGATATCATCAGCCTTCCGTGTCTTAAAGGATATGGAGAGAAATGGTTGCAGCAAGACTCTTCAAACTTATAATGCATTGATCCTGGGTTTAGGAAATAAGAAGCAAATATTTGAGATGTATGGATTGATGGATGAGATGAGAGAAAAAGGGATAAGTCCAGATATTTGCACATACAATAATATAATCAGTTGCCTCTGTGAAGGAGGGAAGGCAAAGGATGCGATTTCTCTTTTACACGAAATGTTGGATAAGGGCATATCTCCCAATATATCTTCCTTCAAAATATTGATTAAAGCCTTCTGCAAGTCTGGCGATTTTAAAGTAGCTTGTGAACTATTTGAGGTAGCTTTGAGTATATGTGGACACAAAGAAGCCTTGTACAGTTTTATGTTCAATGAATTGCTTACCGGAGGACAACTCTCGGAAGCAAAGGAGCTATTTGAAGCTTCGTTAGATAGATATCTCGCATTGAAGAATTTCATGTATAAAGATTTGTTTGAAAGACTTTGCCAGGATGAAAGGTTAGCAGATGCTAATAGCCTTCTTCATAAATTGATTGATAAGGGATATGGCTTCGATCATGCATCATTCATGCCGGTGATTGACGGCTTAAGTAAAAGAGGAAAGAAGCAACAAGCGGACGAACTAGCAAAGACAATGATGGAATTGGCATTAGAAGATAGAACTGACGATAGGACTTACCAAAGCAGAAAGAGAATCCTTCATGGAAAACTACATAAGGATGGAGGAAGTGACTGGCAGGACATAGTTAACAGGTATGGCCATATGGGTTATGAGATGAAAATAATCAATTACTCATTTTCTGGAATTCTGTTCATCTTTGGAAAACCAAGATTTTTAATTTGATGGTTTGGGTTTTCCGGGGTTAAATTATTTATCAATTATTTTCTTGTTGTCTGTTTTGAACAATGACGACTCAAATTACTGAAGTTTGTAAGAGAAAATTGTTTTCGGATGATTGGAACAATACCATGTTGTAGATTCTGTGGGCTCACTTGTAAACCTTACTAGTTAGGCAGTTTCCAACTCAACCTGGTTGACAAACTCACACAAAGACATTTTATGTTTTCATCATCATCATCTTTGAAAGAGTTGATTTATCATGTGACAACTGACATTTAAAGTTGTCACCTGTTATTATTTTTTCATCTCAAATATATTAGTTCTATCAAACTATATGCGAACCGGAATCTTACTATTTTCGTCAAGACTTTGATTGTCACGAGTTCTATAATGTCTGTGGATTTTTAATGAGCGCTATCCACAATTTACTTATGCTTCATATTCTTCCATCTTCACTAATGATCTATTACCTACTACTTGACAGGGATGGTGGCAGTGGAATTGCACTGAAAACTCTTAAGCGTGTGCAGAAAGGCTGGGGTCAAGGAAGTATAACTAGTTTGCAGTCTCAGCAGAATGATTTTCTTGATTACTATGAGTAGCAGATCTGAGAGCGTAAAGGTTTGAGGTTTGAAATATTAAAGACCTCTTTGTAAGTAAAGCAGGTCAAAGGGTAAGGAAATGTTGAAGACCGAAGGTTGGATTAAATTCAAGGTTTGTGACTCTCTTTGTTCTCATATGCTAAGGGAAGAAAGATCTTTATCTCTGATGCAGAATGTTAAGATTCTTAGTGAATTGAAAAGGGTTGGATGTAGCTGATACGCTTTTTTGAAGGTGAATCAATCTCTAGGTAAAATTAATAGAAAAACTGTAATACTATAACAGTATCTCCTCGAGTAATTATAATGTACAGGGATTTTTTATTTAGCATCGTATTTAACATTCAAAATGTAATTTATATCCATAGTATGTGCATACTATAATTCAATTATGGATATGTTACACGTATAAGGTTCACCAATGAACCCAAGTTTATAATACATTCTTTAGGCTTAATTGGTTTTCATCTCTGGTATTTTCTTGTCCATTTTAGTTCCTACTTTTTGAATTTGTTTTAGTTTCTGAATTTACCAATTACTTAAATTTTATCTGAACAGTGATTTCCCATTTAAATTATCTACTAAACAGCGCATTGGTTTGTTTGAAAACACTGATAGTACACAGTTTTGTTCATTCCCTTCTCTTTATGTCGGTATATCCTGTTCTCCTTCCCTATCTTAGTATGATTACCATACAACATTTTTTAATTGAAATTTATAAATATATTAAGGCTAAACCCAATGATTTTGCACACACACACACTATATAGTTTTTTATTCTATTTTTTTTTTTATTGTAGTCCTTGTAAAATATATTTTTTGAAATAGTCTTTGTAAAATTTTCCTTTTTTATTTTGTCCTTATAATATGCTCATTTTATTTTTGTTCTAGTAATATGTGAATAATTTATTTTTAATTTTCACTATTTTTTCTTAAAGAAATTAACTCAAAATGAACAAGATATTATAGGAATTAAAATGAAAAAATAGATATATTAATAGAACTAAAATAAAATTATAAGGACTATAATGAAAAAGTAAAATTTCAAGGAATCATAAACCCAATCCCAATGTAGCAACAAATTTCTAACGGTACAACGAAAGTAAATATATAACATCCAAAAGATAAAAGATAAGACCTAGTCAAAGACGTTTTAAAACCAATTCACGCGTTAAAAAGTTTCCAGGCAACTGAACAGAAATCAAATACACGAAGTATGGAAAGTGAAGGAACAGTGTAAATACCGGAGAAAACCATGTTCCCTCGTAACTAATCAACTCCCTTTCATCGTCTTCTAATCTTAATTTTTGGGTAACGTATAGCAACTTTATTTTGTTGCAGAATACTTAAAATGTCATCTGAAAATATTAAGAATGAAGCAAAGAATCTTAAACTTAATGAAAGAGATCTATCATGATGGACAATAGCTTTATTCATATTAGTTTCCTACTAACATAACATGAAGTTGGTGCCATAGACAACAACATTATTATTCCCTAACACAACTACTACCTAGCTAGCAAACTCCACAATTCCTAATTCCTAACTAAACATATTGGTTGGAACAAGCTTGAACCATTGGCTTTGGGGATTGTCCAAACACAAAGAATCATCATCTCCTATGCAGATGCATTTGTTGGTCACTATCTGGGAAGTATTGGAATCCCTCTCCAAGCACAAAAGCCCCCCTTTCTTGTCCAAGGTGGCTAAGTGAAGACCAGTCATTGAAACAGTTTTCCAAGAACTTTGTGGAGACAGACAATCTTCTGAAAGAGTTGGAGGAAGCCCTTCACCAGCTGCCTTTAGACACAACGCAGAGTCCATCAACCTAATTGGAGATCCATTTCCTTCGAAATTCCATAGCCTATTAGTCTTACAATTACCCATCACAAGCGTATTAGTATTATTCACATGAACACAGTAACCAGTCAATGGATGGAACATTATATGGGACTTTGAGGCCTTTGAATTTGGATCTGCATAAGAAGTAAATCAAGTACATTTTAGACATACAATGCAAAACATACATGTAACATATATTATTATGTTTACAAATATACCAATAAGTCTGATTAGATATAAGTTTAGAAACGTTTTTTCAAAAAGTAGCCTGTATTTAAACAAGCTTTTTGTATGATGAATATACCTTGAACCATCCTTTGTAGAAGTTGGAATTTTTGGGAGAAATGTGGGTCTCTATAACTTTTCCAATCGTCGTTCATGACACCATAATGTTCCCCAGGTCCAACTCTGCCTTGTCTATAGTAATAGCTTCCTTGGAAAGCCCACAAGCTCCATTCCAAGTCCACGGAGGCAAAATAAGCCGCAACGCATGCAAGGTATTTGTTATCAGCAGAATCTGCACCGGTCATGTCGTAGCCAAATTCACTCACAAGCAAAGGTGCTGGATTGTCACCACTCAGAAGAAAGCTTGATTGGCTGTGCAACGTTTGAAGGACAGAGTGGCACACCCAATTCACTGGCTGCAGATTCCACTTTTTTGAGTCTCCTGAGAAGGAATATATATGCGACTCATACACGATTTTGTTAGTGAAGTTTAAGCCAAGAGCCTTGTTCTTCAAGAAGCTAAGGTCGTTGTCAAAGCTTATCCCTGAAATAACAACTAGAAAATCGGGGCTGATTTCGTGAATTGTCTTCGCTCCTTGCGTCACGTACTTGTACCAATCCGGCAAGTTTTGACGTGAACCCCTAAGCTCGTTTCGCAAGTCCATCGCAAATACCTACGTAACACATGCAAAAATATAAAGCATTAAATCACTTAAAGGTAATTTCTTTTTTATACCCAAATAAATGAATCACTTCTATTTTCTCTATCTCTCTTCTTCTTGTCACATATGTTATCAATTACTTATTTCTTTTTTTTATTTCTCTCGAGCTCTTGGGTATTAAAAAAAATTCCATAAAAAAACCTTGACTTTAAGATATATCACATTGAATAAATTAAATATTTTTGCATTACTTACATTGCGTTTACCCTTGAAGTGGTGGGCTATAAAAGCCAAGCCTTGAATCCATTCATCAGTGTTGAAATGTCTGTCACCGAAGAATCCATTCTGATCTTCCTTGGAACAGCACCACTTTGGCAAACTAACGTGGTTATCAATGAGCACCATGACGCCGTGTGCTCCTAGAGCATCAACCACAGCCTCATAGGCTTCAAGATGGGTCATGTTCAAGATGGTAGGGTTGTGTTTGTCGATTGCTGTCACCATCTCAGGAATGTCAAGAGTGGAGAAGGTGTGACGCACGGTTTGGTTAGCATGGCGAGTGAACATGTACGTGGCATAAGACAAACGAACACAGTTGAACCCCGCTTTGGCCACGTTAGCGGCGATATCATTCAAGGGCATTTTGTTAAGACCCTCAGCAAGCATTGGCTTGGCATGAGCCACCCAATGAGCGCAGTGAAGCTTCACGCGTTTTCCTGTTGCATCGTCGATGATCCATCTCTTCTGAACTGAGAGAGGCATGGAGTAGCAACATGATGTGAATATGGCCAAAAGGCACCACAAGAGAAAGGAGGTTTTACTCATCTTTCTCTTTTTTGACTAAGAAAAGTAGAAAACACTTGGTTACAACCTAGCTCTATGTCTGTTTATATAATAGTTCTAACTTTTTAAAACTTTAAATGTTTGGTCCAAGTTAGTTTTGATTTAGTTCAGCTTAACACTTTAACTAACTTAAAACAAATAGAGAATATTCTCTTTACTTGATCCCTTACTTTTTCCTTTTTTTATTTGTATAATAAATATTGATTGGTTGATTTTTTTTGTTTTAGTTTGACTATATACAAAATTTCATTTAATTTTTTTTTCTACTACTAGTATTTCGGGAAACTGTTTTTTAATCTTTATTTTTATTATAAAAAGTAATTTTTTTAATTCGTAAACTGTTTAAGATATTTTAAACTAAGCTGATAATTTCTACCTTTTCAATTTAAATTGTATTATAATAGTTTTTTGTTTTAAAAAAATATTAATAATAAAAAATAATTTTTAATATAAATTATGTTAAAAGAAAAATACCATCTTCTATATGTCTATCATCCCTAACAAAAATTAGTTATTATTTTTATTGTGAAAACTTCATATCATATCAATATTATAGTTATAAAAACAAATATTTTTTTTATTATATATTTAGTTATAATAAAATTTCATTTTATATTTAAAATATTTATTTATTATAAATTACTATGGATATAAATAAACATAATTATCTAATTTATCATGACTTCACCATAAACTCTTTTCTTATGTTGTGTTGTGTACACACATTACACACCTGTTGCGAAAAGTTTCATCTTACTTTCAAATTGCAACAACCCTTGCTTCATTCTTATCTTATCCGAATTTTCCTCACTCTCCAAACAGAATGCGTTTTTTTTTAATCTCCATAACTTTGGATCTCTCTGACTTTATAACAAAACACCTCATGTTCTCCTTCTCCATAACATTGAATATTTCTAGATCTTTATCTCCCTCAAACTTTTCTTAAACCCTCGTCTGAAATTAATAAGGTAGATACAAGGTTTAAGAAGAATATGTTACAATCATATGATTACATCATAGATGGAAACATTGTGGGTTATATAATCATTGTGTTAAATTTGAGTCTCAATATCAATCAACCTTTTTTCAAGTTTTATTATGCTTTAAGCATTTTTTTGGGACTAAGCTCTTACGGAGATTCATGGTTTCTTAAACTTTTGAAGCTTTTTATTTATTTATTATTATTATTATTATATAATTTAATGTATTCAGAATTAAGTTCAATAATTAATTGGGAGAGATGGGTCTCATCCTCGAAGGATTTTCCGATTTTGTCTTCTGAATCATATGATTTTTCCTAACTAGGAGTCTGAAACATCATTGACTTTTAGTTTCTTGATCTAAATAAATAATCTTTCATTGTCTGCACATGTAGGAAATGAAATTGCGAGTGATTTGGAAATTGATAAATTAGGTAAAATTATATTACTTTTCTATTTTATTTTTTGCAACTTATTTTTCCATTTAATTTGCGGCTGGATATTAAGTATTTTAATCATCAGGATATTGAAAACGATAGAATTACCACTTATAATTGAAAGTGTTGAATCTATATTCAAGTATGGGTTCTAATTTTTGTCCCGAGGTATCTTTCACATCTTCACTCGAGATATGTATCATTTTAATTTTGCTCTCCATAATGCGCAGATCCGGGGAAAAGCTACTAAACAGTGAAATAAAGTTTTAGCTGGATCATTCCATATCGGAGATTAACTTAATTGAATATTGAGTAAATTATCTAAATACAGTAAAAGATATTGACATAATTTTATATTCCTGAGTCCTGACTTATGTTATCACTAAATTTTTTTAAAAATATTTGTGGTTATGTTGGAGGTACTCCAAAAATCCGCGGGTACGAGACAAGCTATTAAAGACAACGCGAGAATTACTCTAATCAAACAGAGACTGAGTTACACTTTACAAAATCCATGAATAATGGGGTTCTCAAAAATGAGGATTTCGAGAGAATTCTTATTGATATACTCAAGGGTCGAAAAAAAGGATAAGAGGTTACTAGTAGTTAGAGTTGGTTCAGAAAGGTTACTTACATAGTTACATGTGCATATTAATTGCTCTCAAAAGAGAATATGCAAAGATCGACTAAAAGCTGTTGAAAAGTTATTTAAGTGACTGTTAGGCGTACTCGAAAATCATGTGACTCGAAAAGATTAAGTGGAGATGGACCCTATTCCATCTTCCTTCATCTATTTGGAGCCAAGTTTTATTGTCTAAATATGGCGGTGGAAGCAATCTGTGTGCTCAAAACCCTTCCAACAAAGAGTCTATTTGGTGGAGAGATCTACTTATAGTGTGTGGGGGAGACGAGGAAGGCAACTGGTTTGATAAGATGATAGAATGGCGAGTAGGGGAGGGGTCTAGAGTGAGATTTTGGCTTGACAAATGGGCTGGTACAACGAGTCTTGCAATAGCCTATCCGAGACTTTTTATTAATTCTACCCATCAACATTCTTCAATTGTAGAGTTGGGGGCATGGACAGAGCGAGGATGGGAATGGCAACTCAGTTGGAGAAGGAATAGATTTGCATGGGAAGCTTCACTGGAGGAACAATTATATCAGACAATAAGGGGTATCAATTTCCATAGAGCAGTACAAGATTCATGGAGGTGGTTAGGTGATTCTTCGGGAGAGTTCTCTGTTAGGTCGGCATAGAAATCTTTACTTGCTGAATATGCTAGTGCCGACAATGATGAAGTATCCAATAGTATTTGGTTAACCCCAGTACCTCCAAAGGTTCAAATGTATGTGTGGAGAATGGTAAACAAGGGTCTTCCATCAGTGGATAATCTGGCAAGAAGAAACATAACACTCGGCGAACAACAGTCCTTGTGTCAATTTTGTATGGTGTAGCTGAAACCTCTAACCATATTTTTTGTACATGCCCTGAGGTGGACAAGATATGGAAACAGTGTTTGTCTTGGATCAGGTGCCCTGCTCCGCTACCATAGCAAGTAAGACAACATTACAGCTTCATTCCGGGCCCAATCATGTATGTTACAATATGACACTTTTCTTGCAGTGAATAAATATGATTAAGAATATTTTAGTACAGTATATATATTATATGAAATTGTAAAAATTAAAAGTATTTAACTATCTTTCTTAATCTGTGTAAAATAATTATTTTTGTTTATATATAAGTTTAGAGGGAATCTTTTATTAATTAACATATTTAAAAATAGATTTATATTTTTTCCATAATAGAAAATAAAATAATATTTTAATTTACTTGTTATGCATAGGAATTACAGTCGTTTTAACATGAAGATCTATGTAGAACCTGAATTTTCTCTTGTAACTGCATCAAGATGGTTGTCAATTATATTTCTCTCTCTTCCTTAATTACTTTTACTGTTGTATTATATTCCCAATCAACAGTTGTAATTTTGCATTTCCTTGACTGGCGAGACCATAAACTTGAGAGGTCCCCAGCGCTGCTATATTGGTGCCTATAAATTAATTCCAATAAATGGAAAAGCCTCACAAGTCATGTTTGTAGAATTAAGAGTCAAAAAAACTCCACCAAATCAGATTCTTTACACATGGAGGGAGACAATAATAAAACTCCACCAAATCATCTCATGAAAGAGAGAAAGACATCATGGGCAGATTCCCTCAATTTGGAGGCCGGAAGAGTTTCTATGTCTGCAACCCATTTCTCCAAGGTTTGAGTTCTCTACACTCTTTCTACCTGTTTCAAAATTGAGTGATGATCATGGTAAACCCCAACCAATTATTTGGTGGAAATAAGAGAGGTGGAGAGAAAAGTAATAAAAATGAAAGATGACATGAGATAAAAATAAAATTGAGATGGAAGAGAAAATAAATGTGTGATAAACATTTTGCTTAATAATTTGTTAGGAAGGAATGAATCATATTTGAGACATGAAAACCGTAGCTATCTTATTCCTTCACTCAATGGCAGCTGAATACAGGCCTCTGCTTACTCGGGTAAGGAGCCTACCAGTAACACGCCAGGTTGGATGGTGATAATTAGGAATGGTGGCATTGGATATAATCTATAGCAATGTATGTGAGGTAGATTGCGGGGCTGGTGATGGTGTTGAGGGCATCTTTCTTTAGAGAGGAAACAAAAGTTAGTATAGTCGATCTAATGAATATCAAAAGACAAGATAATGAAACTTTGGATGAC